GAGCCGCTTTTCTCCCTGGACCCGGTCGATCCCCAAAACCTGGAGAAGACCCCCCAGAAGAAGGTCTATGAACCCAGCTGGCTGGCTGGAACTAGTGTGGGCGATGTTATGTTCCAGGCTGACTACTTCCTGAAGGAACTTGCCCTGGGTGAGTATGAGATGCCTGTTGCCGGCATGCTGAGCGTCTTTGACTGGTCCGAGCTCTCAGATAAGGACCGCGCCTGCGCTACCTAAGGGCCTAAGGGCTGTGCTGCGCACTCACTCACTTCCGTAGAGCCACTGGGACCACTTCTACTTTCCAGGGCTTACCATAACTGCCTGAAGAGGCCTTGCTGTAGTAGTCTCTGTGTGGGTAGGAAGGGTTGCTGTGCCAGGACAAGGCTTGGGCTGGGCGCGAGTGGTATGTGGTGAAGAAGGCCGAGGTGCGGCTGGCCCAAGACAAGACCCTGGTCCCTTTTGTGAAGATGGGCGTAGAGGCCCGCGAGCAAGTTGTGACCAAGAAGGGCCTGGAGGATGCGGCAGTTACGGCTTCCACGCATCCCTTGAAGAAGTTCGCGGATGCTTTTACCCGTAACTTCGACCTGATTGCGGAGCGCAAGAGTGTGGTCTTTCATGTCCGAGAGTTGGCCAAGGCCTCCGTGCTTGCAAAGTACTTGGTTGACTCCCACGCGCGCCTGGATCCATCTTGGTACCAGATCGCTGACGAGATCGTGAAGTCCACTCCCAAGGAAGCACACCCAGAGATCCCACAGCTCTGGAACATGCGCGGCAACTCCCGCATTCAGTTGAAGAATGGCCGCCTCATTGACATGTTCACAGGTGGCCAGCGAAACCTGCAGGCCATCTACGGCGGAGTGGAATTTGGGCTGGACCGCTTTGAGCTGGCGCAGCGTCACGCCTTGCAAGGCCAAACTGGTATGCAGTTGGGGCAATCGGGCCGACCCATGTTCATGCCTCAGCGCTTCCAGCTGGGACAGCGGGCTGAGATGCCTCAGGGTGTGGATCTTAACTTGGACAAGTTCGATCTGACCAAGCCGGAGCGCTTCGCTGGCAGCCTGCCTGCCTGCAGCGGTGGCCCAGATTCCTTGGAAGCCAAGGTCACGCTAGGACGGGCTTTCCTGAAGAGCCTCCGGGAGCAGGACTTTGATGAGCTCAAGTCGGAGTACAAGGAGCTGCTGACAAAGGTCTTCAGCTCACCCCAGTGCGACCGCACTGAGGAGGGTGATGCGTTCATCCCACCGGATCCCAACATGGAGTACGCAGCCAAGCTGCGCAGCCTCATCCATGAGGAGAAGTCTTTGCTGGAGCGCCGCAAGCTGCACTTCTTTGACCGCCGCTTTAAGGCTGGCAACCCGGGCACAGACTTCCCCCGCTCATGGACATCCCGGTTCCAGATTGAGAAGGATGGCGTAGCTCCTAAGACTGAGGTGTCCAACAAGTCCGCCTTCACCAAGGTAGAGTTCGACGATGCTTTCCAGAGAGTCCTGGCCACCGACATTCTGCCCACGGCAGCGCCCGAGTTCAAGCAGACCACAGAGGACGGCACCGTCTTCCGCATCTACCAGATCGGTAGCCTAGAGGTGCGCACCACGGAAGAGAAGTTCGCGAAGGAGAACGTGGGTGTCCTCTTCTCCAAGTCGGCGCCCACCTGGGATCTGGCTTCCAAGGCAAAGCAAACAATCTCCGACAACGAGAAGATAGAGAATTGCAAGGTTTATCTTGAAGCCTCGGAAGGCGAGACGCACAGCAACAAGCAAGCACACCACTTCTTCTTGGTTTTGCAGACGGCCAACAAGAACCTGATTGTCACAGAGAAGCTAGCAAATGGGACCACCACTTGGGTGGTGAACCCTGCCAACCTGGAAGATCGAAGCTCCCTGGCGAAGCTGCTTTTCACGGCCGACTGCTTGGAGCAGACCACGGTCCGATCCTTGAAGACCCTGCAGGGAAACATGAGCCGCAGTGAGCCAAGCGGTGCAAGCCTGTCCTACCGCAAGCAGTACGCAAAGTCCGTCTTCAAGCAGGCAACCGGCAAGAGCTTCCGCGGCAAGTGGGGAGGCTTCATCCGGAAATACTCCGGCCCAGGAGTCTTCCTGGG